CCTCCCACGACCCAAGTCTTCTTCTCGGTCGTGCCCGCCGTCTTCTGATGCAGCCGAGACAGAAGGATAGAGGTTCGCTCCGAAAATGGAGGCATCTCATCACACACGGTCCGGAGGAGGTCATCCGTGGGAAGCGTTGCCAGCGTCATGTATTCAAAAGCGCGCTGCTGTAATTCGGTATCGGGTGAATGGCTGTAGAGACGGAAAATGTGCAAGAGTTGTGGCTTGATTTCGGGGAAGAGATTGACAAATTTAATGAAGGAGGATAAGATCATGGCACGAGTGTTGTCGTTACTAGTGATCATCTTCCCTTGCAAAGCCAAGAACTGCTCAATAGGACTCGAGCCTTCATTGTCGGCAATCAGATGACCAAATTCTCCTAGGACATAGCAACCGATCTTGACCAAGCTCTCATGGCAGTCCGTCTTCAAGTAGCCTAAAAGCGTGTGTGCGGCATAGGCTTGTAATTCTTCGTTGTTGGTCACAATCTGGATGACTCGCTGCCATACTTCGTCGTTGACATGGTCGCCTGCCAAGGACAGGAGCTTCAATGTAATGTCGATGTACCACTGGGCATCAGTGGCGTACTTTTCTGTGAGAATCGCAACCTTGAGTACCATCTCTTCTCGAATGGCGTAGTCCGCGGTCTGCAGGTACCGTAGAAGCTCGTTCACAATGGGAGCCGCATTTGTGGTGTCGCACATGCTATAGATCAGGTCCAAACCTTTGCGCCGCACGCTGATATCTCGATCTCGAAGTGAACCTAAGATTATGTTCTGATGCTTCTTGATGGGGTCAAGAGTTTCGGCCCTGGCGGCGAAGTGTGTCATGGCTTCCAAACCGAGGTAGCGGACATTTGTCTCTCGAGACTGAATGTATTTACCCAACCGGGAGGATATTTGCATCATGAGGTTATGCTCGGTGTCTAGATGAATAAGGAGGTTGATAGCTTCGAAGAGAATGGCATTTTGAGCATTATTTTGTTGCACGTTCTTTGGTGTATCCATGGCCGCAGTCATGATCTGCTGCAGGGATGCTCGGATGATCTCCCGGACGTGACTGTCCTCTGCAAAAGGGGGTGAGTTTGAGAAAGGAAAGTCTGTATGATAAAGATAGAACACTTACGTGAGGGCGGATAGTACTGAAGTAAGCGCAGCAGTTTGACCTGGATCCAAGGACAGGGCACACGATAGTACAGATAGTCAGGCGCGATCTCGTTGTCAACCACGATCCTTTTGAGACGCTGCGCAGCTTTAATATAGCTCCCCTTGTATTCTTCCGGCCTATCTTGCGCCAATGCCATGATGAGAGATGTGACGGACAGCGTGACACCCATGTCCGGGTCGTCCATCAAAGAAATCATTCGCTCGGCCCATTCGTTTTGTACGATGCCAGGGTATTTCCGGTATAGTCGAAGCAGAGTCAAGGCAGCCTTCTTCTTCACAAAGGCTTTAGATGTTCTACAGCCTTGTTAGTCGTCACACTCTAGAGAAGACAAAACATCAATACTCACGGGGAAATCAGCAGCCGATGGACGTCCGTACTCAGCGCCTCCCCCATCTCCCTTCCACCAACATTGGCAACGGCATGCAGCGCCAAACAGTTGAACAGTTCATTATTGTCAAGTAGATCTTTCCGGATACTGTTAACGACCAGATGTAGCAGCTCGTGCTGCTCGTGCAGGAATAGGGTCACAGCCAGATACCCAATCTGCTTCTCCGAATACTTATTGGAGGAAATCAGGTTGACAGCCTCCAAATGACCGAAATCAACATCGTATCCCTGGATATAGACATATAGCAGTTTGCAGACATATTTCTTCTTCTGGTAGCCGTTCAAGTTGCCGGCCTTGAACTTCTGCCGGATATTGGCCAACTCCTTGTTCACCCGCTTCTCCTCGAGCTCGCGCGCTCGCGCATTGCGCAGATCGGCAATAAACTGCACGAGACCTCGCATGGACGACATGATGGGTGAGGTGGATTATCCAGCACACGCTATGCTTTCTGATACGGGTCGTCGATTCCTCACAAAAGCGCAGACACCACGTCGGTGGGATTCGCTCAGTCGGACCGTGTCATACAAACATATCCCGGTTTTTGCGATCACTTAGTTCGTTGTTCTGAGGTATCCTTCTTCAAAGCACCTGGCACATGGCGCGAGCGAGATGCTGTGCAGCTGTACCAGCACAAACAGGGTCCGGAGGGGATGGCTGCGACAAGGGGTAAATCGTTCGAGAGTAGCACCAGCAATTCGTGGACTTCGTCAGGCCGAAGGGAAAATATCAGATAAGGCGCACGAATAGGATTGAACCTGGAATGTGACCCATAGAACAGAATACAAGCCAAGCTCGAGGTCTTAAAATAGGAGTTCCATGTGCGGTCCGGGCTGCATCAAGGAGCAGAGCAACTGTTTCTCCGAGTTGTTAAGCCACTTCCGCTGCCGACCCGCCGGAGACCCACTGGCACATCGAGGATTAATGTTGTTGCGATGTGGCGGTGCAAGCCCTTCCAAAGAGTACAGTTCACGTCGATCAACCAGTCCCAAGCACCGAATAAACGGGCATCTTCAATATTCAGATGGAAAAATGAAAATAGTATGTGCTGTGCTGAAGAGGGATAAGCAGGACAAACGTAAAATAGGGCAAGATAGGAAATAGGAAAAAGGAATTCAAAAAGCAAAGCATTGCTCTATGCACCCACGCGGGATCGAACCGCGGACCTTTCCATCGCCATTTCTTGGCAGTACAAGTGGAATGCTCTACCACTGAGCCATAGGTGCATGTGTGTATTAGATAAGCGTACTGTGCTTTATGAAGCCAAAAGCAACACTTGCATGGATGAAGCACTGCTCTATGTGATTCTAGCTGTTGCTAACGCGGAAAACTTAGTAGGCGTAAAAGGAACGCCAGAGATAGAGGACGTTGACAGCCGAGTGAGACATAATCTTGACAGGCAGCCGGTCATAAGCATAGGAACCACTACTAGGACGAGTCGTGTTCACGCTTCCATCTACGATGGCTACAAATACAAACAAAAACATTTAGAATCAAGACAACCCCTTAGGATTGCATTATCATAAAATTCATGGAATGAGCACAAGCTCAACCCAAGCCGCCAGTAGCAATGCAGCCATAACGAATGCCAGCTATGATACAATGAATCATCGAGTTACCAAGCAAACCCCCTAACACCGAGAACAAACCCCAGACCCAGAAAAGCCATAAACGTCATCAAATGCGACAAAACATTCAAGCACGAGCAGTGAAATCAGTCTCGATGGCTTCGGCCGCCGCATCAACCGCGCTGGCCTTCTCACAGGTGCAGGACGCTATGCCCAAGTCAGTAACTAAGCCATAACAGTTCTCCCCTCAATGTAACTTACTAGAAGGTCTCTTGCCGCAGGGGCATGCATCACCCGTCACGGCGTGGTTCTCGGTGGCTGCACGCTCACAGGTACATTGTCCAGCTGGACGGGCTCCTACCGACAGAGTAAGTCATTTGTTCTCCATACGACCATGTGCGAATTCCAGCGGAGAGACTTACTGCATGAGCATCTGGGTCCGGAGATGGTGTTTTCGGTGGCAGCCTTGTTGCAGGTGCAGTGGAGGGCGTTCTCTTTGCCGCAGGAGCACTTGGCCTGGGCTGCGCAGACACAGCTTCCGTCACCGGAGGTTCTGCAGCAGGTCGAAGATGGGTGGACCATTTTGTCTTTTGTCTCGCTAGGCGGGTTTTGAGTAGATTGTGCTGGAAGTTGAAGATTCTCTGAGAAGAGAACGGTGATGCTTCAAGTTCTTGTGAAGGTCGTAGGATGATGTATGATGTATGACGTAACCTAAACAACGAGGAAAGCTCGAACAAAATCCAACGATTGCAATGCCAACGGACAAAGTAAGGCTGGCAAACAAGCTTGAGAATGAATCTTTCGAGGCAATTATTTGAACCAATGCTGATGAAAATATAAAAGAATTATCGCGAACTTCAGCAGTATTTATATCCTCGATTGCATGACCGTGGACCTGCAACCTAGAAATGGCGAGATTATCAATGCCCGCTCACTGATTGGTTGCAACAGCAGATCCCGTGACTCACATTCAGCAATTCCGTCGCTTGTGATTCGCTGCAAAATCTGGGGTTATTTAGAGCGACAATGACTGGATGATTTGTACCGGGAAGCTGCGAGTGATGGGCGGCTGGTGGATGGCGAATTACTTTTTACTCTGCTCTGATTCGATATCCGCCTGATACTTGCCAGCAATGTTGCCTCCGACTCAGGACAGTGTGGGAGAAGCCTGGCTCTCAGTAATAGCAGTCCACCTCTTGGGCCGATGGGGCTACTAATTAAGCCTTTTGATTGGCCTGGCGTACCTTGCAATCAAGCTGACCTCGACAAAGCTTTCATGTTATTGGGCGAGGATACTGACATTTGAAGCCCTAAGTCATACTTATCAGAACACGCTCCCAGCCTCTGTGGTTGGTGCAGGCTATATTTAACTGTATGCATATTATTGTACAATAGTGATCCTTCTGGCCACAGAGCCATCACAGTGGGAACCCACCGGGGTACTGGCACAGATATAAAGAGATCACAGGATCGCAGTGGGGCCCCTCGTGTGAAATTGAAGAGATGAGCCAAAGAAACACGATGAAACGTACAAAGAAACAGACGCCATGCCATGTCCTCCCCATAGAGGGAAAAAAAGAAAAAGGGAAAGCAAAAAGACGAAATGCAGAGTATTTTCCTCCTTTGAAACCGGATTGTCAAATGCAGAGATGAGGTCACGCAAGAAAGAAGTGAGGACCATTGGACAGCCATTGGAAAGAGATGTAGAGTCGAATTGCCCACGAATATTGAGCAAATTTACCGATCACCGTCGTACGGAGGATTATAAGAATGATTTAGACATTAGGTTGGTCCGTTGTGTCCACTATACAGGACAGGGAGCGAAGGCAGTGTTTTATTGAGACGGAGGAATGGAGCGAATCTTTCAGGTTGTTGCCATGTCACATGTAGTTAGCATAGTCGTAGGAAGGGTTGCCAAATTTCCCTCGCAAAGGGTCCAATATCTGAGGCGATTGATTGATCCGGTCTTCAGCAGAGACTGCCACCTGTGGAACATGCGTTGTGTCCGGTGGGAAGGAAGCAGGAAGGCTCATACTCGAAGCGTTGGCTTGCGAATAAGGCATTCCCGTTTGTATGCTGTACGGGTGATGCTCGTAGGAGAAAGGTCGGTAGTCAGGTGCATCTGACACTGGTATCGAGTGTAATGCGGGCATGTGTCGAGGTTGCATATGCGAGTTCATCTCTATGCTGCCATAGCCTTTTGGAGCTGGCATTGTGAGTGTGGTTTGGTAGCTTGGGACCTGCTGGTCTGTTCGGGCGGCATTAGTCTACAATACTTCCAACTAAAAATAAGAAGAGGATCACATACTGTGATTGTCTATGTTGTATGGCAGGGGCTGTTCCTGCTGGCCGGTAGGCGACACGGAGCCTTCCATGTGCCGAGAATGATCGTAGCCCACAACCAATCCATTGGCCGGTCTGGGAATCCCATAGTCCATGGGACGCCGCGCATATGGCAAGCCGGGATGGTTGAGTGGTTCGACTCCCGGCCTCGAGAACCTGCCGGGCAAATGTAGTCCTGTGTTGAATGATACTTCGGAGAAGCTGCTGGACCTAGGGAAAGGAAAGTTCCCGCGCGTGTTTCGTTGTAGCTCTGGTAGGGTCGCTGCCGGTCGAGGTCCAAGAATGCCATGTTGGGAAAAATGTTCGGGTGTCCTGTCAGGGCCTGCTGAAGGGAAACAATTTCCAGTGGTGGATGACGAACTCAGCGGGGAAACCACGTATTCGTCGTCATTAATACGTTGTAGTCCGTCCGTAAGAAGCATCTTCAGAGAATTAGAATCCGTACTAGATGCCATGTAGTTTCGGGGTGACGCAACTGATGTCTCTGATAGTGTTTTGTTATCAAACGGGGTACGCAGAACCTSAGTTGTGTCAAAATCATCGGGTAAAGCCCGGGACTTTAACATCCTCTCTCGATCGTTGCTTGTGAGTCGCTTGAGTTTGGCTCGCCTGAAACACATGGATTAGTGGACCGATAAGAGCCAAGGAGGAATCCACACAGGAGAAGAATACCTATTCTGAAACCAGACTTGTACTTGACGAGGAGTGAGTCCAGGAATCTCCCTCGAGAGACGTTCACGGTGTGCAGCATCTGGGTGTGCTTGACGAGTGAATTCGCTCATCAGAAAACGGGTCTGATTGTGTGTCAGGCTGCAGATGTTGGTTAGTTTGTTTTTTTGCTGAGCAACAAGGCGACCACTCGGAAGGATCAAGTTATCATGAGAGCTTACCGGAACCGCTTCATCTTCTTTTTGTCAGTCTTTGCGTCAGAGTTCTTCTGATCCCCGCCTTCGTCCGAAGATATGCCCATAGCGTCGTCATCGTCCTTCTCATCCCCTCGCGCCTCTTCCTGAGGCCTCTTCTTTGCTTCCAGTGTAAATGCCTTCGGAGCAGAGGGGCTGGCTGGTTTTGGGACCCCAGAAGGATGAGATTCGCTGTGGTTCAGCTGATCCAGCCTCATTCGTGACAGCGTCTCTTCTGTGCTTCTTCTTTCTGCTTCCTTTGGTGGGGGCATCTCTGCCTCCGAACTCCGTACATGCTTAGATGTTGCCACTGGGTTAGTTGCTGAAAAGGCATTTTCAGCCTTGAGTACAGCATCTGGTTGCATGACGACTGCCGGCTTCTGAACCGGATGGCCTCCCTTCTCCCCTGGGTAGGGCAACCTCGGCGGGTTCACCCTTGATCTCGAAAGTACCTGTTCACTATTGCAGGCAGTTGATGGTAGGTGGTTCGTGATCGCAGAGAGATGAGATGTAGCAGGAGGCGACAACGATGACAGCCAGACGCAAGGCCCACTGACTGACATGATAGAGAGTTCTCTGCTCGCGTCAGGCAAGATTCGCTATTGGCATAGGACAGCCAGGTTGAGGGACTTCTTGAAATCACAATGTGGGAGAGCAACGGAATCTCAGGAGAGAAGAAAGAATGTCTTCCAAGATCTTGAAGTGAATCAGAAGCGTACCAGGTGGGTCTCAAAGTAATGTCCGGGCGCTTGCTGAAGAAGCTCAGGATCTCCGAGTCGGCTCCGTCAGGCAAATCAGAGGCGAGGATAAAGTGAAATAATACAGGGGCTGTACTGATATAGTACCGCAATTCTGTTCAGGTTGTTCTCCAGACAATATCCAGTGCGCGTCAAACGAAACAAACCAGAGAGATAGATATAGTCGTCGTTGATTAAGGAGCACCACGATGCAAAGTGAAGAAGACTGTTGTCTCAAGGCTAATGTGATAGCCCTCCTTCTCCTATTTTGCCCCTCGACTTGATTTAATATGGGTTCGTCCTTTTTCCGAAATGATAAAGGAGAACGGCAAATATCGATTGAGACTGAGGGCCAACAGTAAGAGAATGGAGAATGATCCGCTGATGGGTCCTGGAAACGGCCGGGGAGTGACCGGACGGTGGGTAGGTAGACTGGAAACGGTAGAGGGCTTATAGTGAATATTAAGCAATCAACAGTGCGTAAGTGGACAGGCGAGAACAGAACGAAACGAACAAAAGTGGAAACGAGCCAAACGGCTAATCTAATCATCAAATAAGGCCAGTATTGGGGTGAATCATAGGAGATTAGACCAAGCACCAAGGCCCAGTTCGAGTCCCAAAGTGATCCACCGGAGGGCCCAAAGTTTGCCAGCCTAGTAGATGAGGATGATGCTAAGGATGCAGCAGTAGGCTCAGTTAACTCCTCACTGCCACTCATTGGACAATCAGCCAGGGACGTGCTTACCTATGGTGCTGAATGAACGACCATGGGATTCAGACGGAAACCCCCAGGCATATGATATGGCTATTCTATAGGAGATATACTAGGTATCTATCCTTATGGTGTCAATAATTCTCCCTGAGGGGGAAATCGGGGCTCGAAAACACAGATATAGTACACATATAGGATAAAGTCCAGAAAATTAAAATCAAACAAAATAACCGCTTCAGGGCCCATGGTAAAGTCGATACTAACTCTAAGAAGATGGACGGGCCATAGCTTGACGGTTCGGGAGACGGAGATCTTGGACCATGCTAACAATCCTACGAATAGGTACTACTAAAATGCTACCGCTTCTGATCGCCCTCTGGTGGCGCCTTGTCCGTAGAAGTGACGATCGATGTCAAGTCTAGGACTCGAGGTTAGGCCAGGTTGCAGGTGACAAAAGAGGAAAATAGTGGCAGGAAGTAAGCCCAGAAAAGGGAAAAGGAGGGGAAGAGGCAACATAAACACCAAGATGACAGAAAGTGGCGGCAAGCTGACTAGACAGGGGGACGGAGAAATTTCTCCATGTTGAAGGCTCGCTGATGTTGCATTCGTTTTTTTTCTGATGGATACAGCCGGAAAGCTAAGGTACTAGGTATCCAGAGCCAAGGTACTATGACTAGGGGGATGACTCTCCTAGGTTCAAAACCTCAACAAGGTTATTATTACATCTTCCGTAACCAAAGACACTACAGATCTTGGTTCGACTGTCGGGAATTGTCTCGATATCAACTACGAACTCGCCTACATAGAGGAGGAAGATTGAAATCCGTCATAGGAAGCGAGGCGGGTATCGCAAGGAGGCATGGTGGCGAACTGAACGACGACTCATGTCAGACCCGTCTAGATTATCAAACTAATTTTGATAGCAGAAAAGAACAGGGAAAAGGAAGAGGATGAACAAACCGAGACGTACTCACATGCAACGGCTAGTACGGAGGCTTTGATTATCTCTGGTCACTAAGGTTAGTGAGACCGGACTAAACGCGAGTAAGTTCACGATCGAGGTTCAGGCGCTCTTGTTAGAAATTAGCAGATGAGTACGGAGTACGACAGTAACCTAGACCGCTAAAAGAAAGCTACAGTTCGGCAACAAGTGTCGTTGTATGAGAGATATTTCTTTTTTTCCCCAAGGGACTGAAAAAGCCGCTCCTGGGAAGTGGCACCAGCAAGATGATTTGCGGGTCAATGGAAGCCTGGAACAGCAGAAGTGTCGTTCTAGAGACGCGCACCTGACTGGAGAGATGCTTTCTCTGGCCAACGGTTGTTTAAAAGGGTAAATAGACCCTGGTTGCCTGACTAGAACTGGTGCCGAGTACGGCCTCTTAGTCAGTCGCTTGAAAAGGAGGAGTTGCAGTAACTCCTCTGCAACCTGGACGCTGCTATGTAGCCTCTGCCCTCCAGTGAAATACCAAGTCCTCTGTGAACCGTACTCTGTACTGTATTCGAAATCTGAGACTGTGCCAGTAAGAAACCAACAAGAATTCGTTGTCCTTTGGGACACCATGTGGAAGACGTACCGAAGACGCTAACAATGCATTGGCTCCATAAGCCGCCGGAGACCCGGGGCGGCCGCCCTGTTCCAGAGGTCAAGCGAGGAGATCGATGATACCATAGGAGTACATCTTCCTTTAGTTCGGTTGTATTTTTTTTTTCTATTTCCCGATGATTTTTGGTTTTATTTACTTTTTTCTTTTTCTTTTTCTCCCTTTTTTTGCCCCCTCGTGGCTTGGAACCGAAGGACCAACCGAGAGCTTATTGACTGGATTGATAGGAAATCGAAGAGACTGAAAGAGACACGGTTGACCCTTGGCGTAGTGGAGCCAGTCGGTCAGTTTAAACTTGAAGAGTACCTAGTACTCCGTACCTAGACATATTTAATCTGCCTCGGGTCATGTATGAGCGAACCCTGGGACATTGCACGCGCACTCATTAAGCAAGAAATACTTACCGGACTGTATGCAATAACAATCCTAAAATGTCTTCACCCTTCACAGGCATAATGATCAGTGTCGATGGTATTTGCAAGTACGCACATGCATGGCATTGCATGCCGCCTGCAACTAACTGGATGTAGAACTAGGAGTCTAGGACAGAACGTTTGTGGGAATTTTGTCAGTAACCAGTAACCTGATTCAGTATAGTTGGCTTTTAACTTGCGCATAGCTTGGATTCGCGGAGGAACATGAGCCATTGACCAGGCATCCAAGCTGGTGGTGTGTCTTCGACAAGCTGACAAGGGTCACGACATCAATGCTCCCATTGTAACGGGGCGGAGTGCACCTCAGGAATGACCACCAAGCGGACCATGCACCTAGCGACCTGAAGCCTGCTAGATGCAGAGAATGAACCAAGCGTGGCACTAACCCGAATAATACCCAAGCCGAGTTTGCAGCTAGTCAATAAAACGGTTTTGACCATGGCCGCCTCATGCGATTGCATCGTTAGTAGCTAGTGCATAGACACTCCACCTTGGTTCTTCGAGGAGAGGGGAGGGGGGAGTGGACCATGAGAATAAAGAATATGAAATAATCTCCACCAGGAGCTTCTTGAAACATCCGTGTCAAGCCCATCCACGGAGCGTATATTTTGAGAAATTTGAGAGAGAACGATGGAAACATCCACAATTCGAAATCTTATTGGGCACTGTGGAAGGAATGAGGGTAAACCAGGCCGAGGCGTTGATAACGCAGAATCAGAGAACGCTAAAGACCAGATACGTAGTGTGGAATAATTGATTTCAAAACGATGGAGTTACCATTCCACAAGATCGATCGTTATTAGCATCATGGTAGCTGGCCCACGAGCAGTGTCTGTTGATATGATTGAAGGAGAAACTGAGAAGCCGTGCTGGTGGAAAGACAAATGGAGGACCTCTTCCGAAAGTGGAGAGAAGGTGGGATCTGTGGGTCAGGTTGCGTCTGTCACTTCAGTGTAACAATCAAATACGTAGCATCACTTCCATGGATGGTGAGGTAGGTAAAGTAGTAAGGTAGGTATGTACTATGTATGTATGTAAGAGTATTGATGAGAGGGCGGCTAGATACAGGGGAAGCAAGCAAGGAAAAAGAGGGGAGGGAGCGGGAAAAAAAGGGAAAAAAATCATGCACCCAAGGTTTGGAGATGCATGAATTCTTTTAAGCGAGGAACCTTTAGTAACTCAAAAGGAAGCAAATTGGTTTCTGAAGTCTGGTCCGAACGCACCAGGTAATGCATGTCAAGCTAAGAAATCCCGAGTACGACGGTGGTGGCTTGTGTTTCTACGCCAGACACGAGGAATTTCAGGAGGAGAATGGTCTGGGAGCTTAACGACACCTGGTCAACGACGAAAAGAGCGCAAAATAAGATGCATCGCAGTAACTAATGTCCACGGAAGAAATGATGGATGGATAATGATATGGCACACTTACGGACGTATTTCATCCTCCGTACTACGTGGATGAGACAAGGCCGGCCAAATAATTTCCGCCATCCGGTTCACAACAGCGGAGGATAGGCCCAATTGGATCAGCCAGTCATGATCGTGGCAAATCCTCGGATAATCCCTGATCGAAGATCGAGATTAAGGAAAGCAGTGATTGACAAGAGGTTGCTCCATACTTCGTAATCGTACCTAAGTCCTGGTCTCAGTCTGATAGGGTACCTTACTCTTTTTGCACTTTATACGGAGTAGAGCCGGAATACTGACGAAAATGGTTTAGTGATTGTCACTAGTAGGAGGATGTAACCACAGTTCCCACTGTCCGGTGCAAGTGACGGTCCGGCAATAACAAGCTAAACTTATCTTGTCGATAGCCCTTGATTAGTTCGTCCGTGAGGAAGAAGATTCCAGGAAAATGGGGCAGATAGGTGAAGGAATCATAAGCAGCCTCGCTTGACAAGAAATTCTCATCGCGGCGGCACAAGTCACGGTGTTCTCGCTTGAGATCCCGACTACAGCACAGTCCCTTGTGCGATTTTACCCAATCAATGAGTTGTAGAGCCGCCGGAGCATTTAGCATCTGTAAGGTACGGAGGGGTTTCGTAAGGTACCTACTGTGGTAGATCCGTCGTCCGTACAGTACTGTGTATGAAATAATGTAGTGTGTTGTTAGCGACAGGACTGCAGATCTCAAGATTCGGCAAGCTTCACCGGGGAAATAGATATGGCATGATCCTTGAACGACTAGCCAGGAAGCATTGAGATCTCAAAAAATTCAAGTAGTGTCAAACACAAGCGCTGAGCCGTTGACAGAAGGCTGAAGTAGCTTGAGATGTCCATGACTAGTTGAGGGCCGATCACAACAGAACAAAGGATCTCATCCATCATCCCTCGTACCTGGTTAATAAAACGATATGCCATCGTTCATACTTCACCATCCATAGTAGAGAGGTAGTACTCTTCAAAATTCAAAGGTACCTTGTCCTTAATAACAATGAGTAAGCAGTGCCAGCAATGGAGCAACGATGCGGGGAAGCTGATCCGAGGACATCGTCCATCGAGAATGATTGGCCGCCGACTTGTTGATCAACGACAGTACAGGTAGTGAGCAACGCAGCGTCTTCAATCTCAGGACGCCAAGCCTGCTGACAATCCCTTCATTTTCCTCATCATTTGTGATTCCATTATTTGCCTTCTCCGGATCAAATGATCTGTCCCAGGAAAGCGAACCGGATCCATCACAGTGGGTATCGAAGCTCACATTACGCAAGCCAGTAAGATTAAGGAGTAGATGCTGCGCTCATACATCCACAGCAGGCGCCATGAGTACCCTTACCCAGCCAGGTGTTTCTAGGCATAAGAAGATCTGTGTAGATACTGCTCGCACAAAAACAAGAAAAAGGAGACAGAATCTCTTGCAAGCTAAGCACTTCTCCGAAATGAGACCGTTGGTTTCTCAGTGAGTATCCACTTAGTAGTAGGAGACTTGGAAATCTTAGATTGATTGAATCATATCAAAAGTCAATGTATCTTGTTCAAGTTGTCATAAATACTTAGCTAGACCAGGCTGGTCCGTGCGAGTCGTTGGCCATGATGAAACATCGTTCAACGGCCTGGCAAGGACATCACCCATGGTCTGCCATGCGCTTAAGTTGATAGCTAATGCCTCGGTCCCAATGGAGGTAATAATATTTCCAGGGATCAAGTAATAATATTAGTTCAGATCAGGGTGATCATTGGTCTCGGATACACTGCCGAGGTTCTATGTACCTGGGATATGGATTTGGATCCTGCCGCTGGGGTTGTTGATGCTGGTCAGGCACAGCATATTCTGTAGTCTTAATATTATTCATTCCTGCTGATAATTGATGGCGAATCCTTGGTAAACGGCTTTAGCTGCAATAACTTTCTTCTTGTAAATAGTACTTAGCTGGTTACAACACATTGAAGAGGCCAGGTACAATTATTAAAATGAGATCTCCAGTAGATGCTTGCGCCAAATAGAACCTCCCTTTCCTTCTTTCCCCTGGTCGCGGGTATCTTTTTTCCCAGGAGTCGTTGTAGAATATTCTAAAGTACAGATCATATTGAGGTCATCGTTAGCCATCATGGGACCTACCTAAGGGGCGTTGCGGCTGCTTGCTTTTCATCTGTCTGAAACACAGCATCCCAAAACACCACTGTAATTTCCGCAAATGCCATCAACGGCTTGATAGGGAGCCCCAGAGGCGCTGTCATGGAGACTGGGCTCTCGAAAGAGAAAGTTAGAATGAACGTAGAAGGAATAACACACAGAAGAACTCTTCTCGCCAGTTACACCTTGACACTGAAATAATAGGAAGAAGAGAAACGATACACAGAGAAACAGATTGATGCCAGCTATATCATATCGAATAAATATCATAATTGCGATTATTATTCGTGGGTTACAGACACCAAAAAGAATAGTGAATACTCCGTCATGAACATGTTAATCCTGCCAATGCAAGAACTCTCTTCATCAATCAGTCGTGATTTTTTACTGATTAGAGTTGCTGATCCCCTTAGGGAATCGGGCCCACGCTCGTAGCTTACTCCGGAATATTCCTCTGGGCGGCCACAGTAAATGACATCTTTGCCAAGTTGCTGTAGGCCGCAGCTGGCCTCTGTGTCCACTGATTCCAGATGCGTCCACCTGCAGCTTTCGCTCCCACACTTTAAACCTCGAGGAATTCTCCGGCTGGCGGGCTGTGGGTCTTGTGGATGCCTGAACGCCTTCAATTTCCGGTAGCCGATGCACTGGCCCTCTTTGGCTTCCAACGTTCTAGACTAGTACTAGAGTAATCCACATTTCGAGAGGAAAAAGAATAAAAGAAGGGAAAAAAAAAAAAAAAAAAAAAGAGTAAGGGCTACTGCAGCCTGTCCCGAGATGCCCCAGTAGTGTTATTGCATTGCTGTTATCGTCATTTCCCCTCACGCTTTTCAAATTTACCGTGTTTTTCTTTCTTCATTTGCTTCCTGTTTTGCCCCTCTACCCCTGATAGTGACTGCTGCAGTCTGGCAAACACACGAAACTCGAGAACGTACTCCGTAGAGAAGACATTGTTTCAGCATATCGACAGCCCAGCCAGACAGCGACCCCTGACTTAGGGGCCGATTTTATCAACGATCATAGGCCATTGGCCAATGGGCCGACTGATGGAATCCTTGCTGTCGTCGTCTTGAAGACCGTACCTTGCATTAGACGCGTACCATTTCCAAACCAAGGATTGTTAGCAGCTTGGTCCATAATCCTCTTGAGATCTTCTGTACTCTGGAAAGACGGTCAACGTAGCGTTGCGACGTTGATGCGGGCAAAGTACTCATTGAAGTTCATCAGAGCAGTGTCGATCGATGGAGTAGTCGTAGGCAGAACAAGCCCAGAACAGTCGTCGAAATCCGGACTCTAAAATAAGCAAGTGTATGCTTTCATCTCAGCGCCAGGATACTTAAAACTCGCATGTCTTTCTTTCATCAGGTCGCCTGCGGAGCGGCGGGAACTGCTTCTTGATGGCTATCATTTAGATCGCCTTGTGTCTGTTCGGGAATTGTCGTGGCACCCTTTTCAATCGCCTGTTCTTCTTGTCCCGTCGCAGTGGTTTCGAGTTCGGCATCGTTGGACACCTTAGCTGCGGACTCCGAAGCCTGGGAAGCCGGTTCATGAGCAGGAGGAGTGGTGCTCTCGGGAGGTTGCGGGGCTTCAAACAGAGCCTTCAAATTCTTGCCGTCATCAATTTTGTCAAAGGCCGCGAGTTTGCCCTTGGCGGAAAGACGTAGAATGCGCCAGGTTTTACTCGCTTTTGCCCGAATCGCACTTTCCTTGTCTTCTTTCGTTTGCGCAGTATCAATGTCTAATTCATCATCCATGATACCCATCATGAACGCGTCAGCGGAGGGAACAGAATACCTTGACAGATGTCAGCCTCATGGGGATCAAATTCAGGGGCAACTAGGTACAAACCTCTCCGGTTCCTTCAGCTTCTCGATGCTTGATAGTGACTCTCCTTCAAGCAGAAAGTCGAGATTCAGGGCACCCATAGGCGAGGGACGAAGGCGCTTATTTGCGTATGTTTTTGTTGCGTTCTCGCGAGCACCTAGATACTCTGCGACTGAGACGGCAGGCCTTTCAATGAGCGGACAGCCCTCGGCTTTCCAACGGACCCAGTTCTTATCCCTCGAAAGAACGGTGTCAACCATGCGATAATAGAATTTACCACCAGTTCCTTCTTGTAGATATTCCTCAATGGCTTTCCTCATCTTGGTTGCCCACTTGGCCTGTAGCTGTTAATTCGTGTTCGAAGCGAGAGGGAAAGTCGCAGGGGAAGGGTTGAAGCATAACGTGGAAAAGCAGAAGGGGTGTCAAGCAGCTTACATCATCTTCGTTCAATACAAAACCGTAAAGCACCGATTTGTTCGTCAAATCAGCAAGTTTTGCTTTCGCTTTCGGTGTAAGAGAAAGCATAAAATCCAGGAGAATCAACGCCTGTACAAGGACGTGTCTTCTGAAAGCTGTGTCGTTGACCTGTAAATGATTGTTAGCAAGTAATTATCAGACCCACCTCTTAGCAACGTACTTCGAGGTCAAACAAGTCCCTGCTTGTCAAATACTTAGGGTTGAAACTGCTCGCAATCTCTTGGCCATCCACGCTCCGTTTCCGCTTTGTAGATTTCCGTATTTCCTCGGCTGTCTTACTGGCGCTTTGATTCTCAAGGTCTGTTCTGATATTCCTGAACGCAATCAATGTGCTCTCCAAGCCAGTCTTGAAGGATGAGAAATGCTGAGAGTCAAACACTTTTGTCGGGGCAGAGAAGTACGCTTGCAGGCCCCAGAAAACGGGATACAGAGCGTCTAAATCAACTGTCTTCTCCGAATCCTTGTCTTTAGTTTTCGAGACAACAAGTTTGGGGACTTTTGCTTGGTCTTGTACAAGCGTCTGAGAATCGCTGGCTGGAGGCAGTGGTTGGCCATCATGATCAGGCCCCTGGGGTTCAGTCGCTGTTGATGTTTCTTTTGCGTCGGGCATTTCCACATCCATCTCACTCTCCTTGGATCCTAAATTGGTAATCTCGTCAAAGGTGGTAACATTTTCGGTGTGATATTCGCCGCGGAGATTGACAGCACTTTTATCCCCAAGCGGGAAGCTCTGAAACAGAAATATGAAGACACGGCCACAAAATACCGTGTCCTCTGCCCGGGACAGCCTCCGAAGTAGCTCATTGCAGGATCTGAGGATGATCAAGCTCTTTTGCTTGAAGTGTTTCTGGAACAGTATCAGCGGATTTACTGCACGAGTTGTAGTGACAGAAGATAATATCAACCTTTGTATTCCGTTCTCGGCGAGACTCCAAATAATCAAAGACCTTGCGACAACCATCAATGGTTTGACTATCGAGCAACTCCTCGATCAACCAGAATATCAAACCGGGCTCGCATTGTCCTGTGCACGGTCAGATAGCTGTTCGTTCACAAGACTAGACGAGCGGAGCCAACCATTATCAGAAAAAATTGAGATTATGTCAAGCAAATTCCACATGCGAATAAACGAGGGCTCGTCAATTGTTGTGTGCGCCTACAGATAGCTCAGTGTTAGCTACCCATCGCACTCATGCTTTCATAGCTAGGCCTTTGAATCAGAGACATACCAGGAGACTGTAGAACTTCTCCCTGAACGCGAGTTCAACTGCCGCAAATCGTGTCTGCTGGTTCAGCTGTTCCACCAATCGCTTTTCTTCCCCCTGGATCGCCCATATCGAGTCGCCCAAATGAGCTTCTGTTAAAGGGGGTTCTATTTGCGCATCTTGTTTGATTTGTTCTGCTCGGTTCAGGAGATCATCGACCAGTTTTCTGTATATATGCATCGCATCATGGTCAGCAACCGACATCCTCATAGAGTCACCAAGAGCAAGCTTGACATAGAAAGGATGAAGGATGGCTGTAAGTTTGGCGCGAGCTTCGGATGATAAATGGCGGCTCTGCGGGCGGTTTTTAGCCGCCAAGAAGTCATCTGAGTTTAAACGCGCGCCAACAGCTTCCCTTTCCGCCCGCGACGGACCACTTGCGCAAATAAATTGGACCCGCGCCAGCAGTACTTTTGAATCAGTCCTCAACATCGAGGAATGGGCCTACAAACACGTCAGGCTATGGCGCACGGCCTCGATTCCCGGCCAACGGTGGAGGACTTCCGTGAGGATAGCTCATGGGTCCAGCTGGCCAAAACCCACTGGCTTGGGACCTCCAAGGTCCGCAAAGCCAAGCAGGATGTTATTAGAAAGGATTTATGGGAGCCCTTAGAAGCTGAAAACTTCAGCCTTCGTTCGCTTTTGACGCTGGAGAATTTGAATATCCTGGAGAAGTGCGCACCGCGACTGTGACTGACGCTCTTACGTCCCTTGAAGCTAATTGCCTACAGATATCTTTGGCCGACATATTCGGAAGATGCGTCCAATCACCATGTGCTACTAATTGCGCTGATTGTTAGCATTAAGCAGCGAGATCATTTGCCAATATGGGGTGCGTCTCCTTACGTTCAGGCCGGAGGTACCTGTGAAAAGCTAATGGACTTTAGAAACCTTCTCAGACAGGCCCGACGACTTCTCCAACCTTTTCCATCGGATCCTCTCTATGAGCGTCGACAATTCTCTGTCTACCTTCTCCCGCCAATCCATATTGTCTTTCATTATCAGTGCTTTTCAATCTCTGGAGAACGCCCTCATCCGAAAGGAGTGCGCACCTCTCGTCTCGATTTCCATCTGGCACAATCTCTCGAGCGAAGAAACTAGGGATCGAATTCTTGCTAAGGTACCATCCTTAAAGAAAGCCTGGAGGGCAGCTGGGAAACGGTACGAAGCTGGAGATGAGGCGGCGAAGGCCAAGATGCGATTCGAGCGATCGTGGCTCTTTACTATGCTTCTGGATCTCTTGCGGCGATTGAATGGATCCGAGCAGGAATTGTCCGATAATCTACGCTATTGTGAAAGGTTTCTGGAGTACCTGGTGGACTTGGAGAGTCAGCTTCCCACACGACGCTACGTCAACACGTTGTTGAAGGATCTCAACTTACTCCCGGTTATACGGCTTTCACAAATGTTCCGTTCTCCTGAAAATGCCCTCTTCCGCGACCTTTTTGAGCTTCTTAAACATTTTTCTGGATTCGCAATCGACGATTACACCGGCAAGCCTCTTGACCCCCACGCAGTCTATGAGAGCCATTCCCAAGAGCTGGCACGTTTGCAGCGGACCGCGATGAAGCACTTCAAGGATAAGTTGATGATCCTTGCTCTGTCAAACTACGGCTCAATCGAGCAACGCTCAGAACTGGAAGGGCAACTGAGTGCCCTAAACGATTCCGAGCTTGCAAGTCTCTGTGTGCACCTGGGTTTCCGGACAGATTATCCCAAACAATCCGGGGTCATGCCCACTCGACATCTCTATCTCGAGATACTTTTGTCATTCTACGAGCGCAAGGTACCGTTTCAAGAGACTGCATCTCAACTCAGCATTGTGCCCACAGAGAAAGATCTCTATGACCCTTCATTCTTGCGAAACGAAACCTATGACGGATCTCGACCGCTTGCCATTCCGAAACTGAATCTTCAATATTTGAGCCTTGGCGACTTTCTTTGGCGATCGTTCCTGTTGTATCGCTCCGAAGCTTTCTTCCAGGTCCGAAAGGATATGGAAGCAATTATCAAGCGGATGCAGCCTCGATCAAGCCGCGATGGCAAGACGCTGAGTTTCGATGGCTTCTCTCGCATGGCCATTCCCATCTCGAAACCAGCCATAATCGAGGTTGCGCCTCCTAAAGTAGGCTCGTCAGAACCAGCTTTTGTAAGGGCTGAGATCGCAATTGAAGTTGGCAGATTAGCAGATCACATTCGGAAGGAATGGGACTCACTTCGTCCAGATGATGTCGTCTTCCTTCTAGCTGTCCAACCCGGTAGCGCGAACAATTCCATTTTCAGGGACAGCTCAGCAGAGACTCCGAGTCTGTTACACCTCAGGACTGCAACAGTGGTCCAGGTCCTTGATGAGCAGGGTCGCCCACTTCGTGAACCAGTTGCGGGCCACGTGAATGGATATCAATCTCGACCTCGCGTCCGGAGGTTGCTGCTCAATCTGGATCCGTCCGCTTTCAAGGCTGATAAGGATCGCACCTCCCAAGGGAAACAGGACATTTATCCTTTGATAAACGTGATTGCGAGACGGAAAGGGCGGGAGAACAATTTCAGGTCGATACTAGAGAATATACAGAGGCTCATTGTCTCTGATGTTACTCTTCCTTCTTGGATTCAGGATATCTTTCTAGGATACGGAGACCCTGCAGGTGCCAGGTATACTGAACTGCCAAACCGACTGAGGTCGGTCGATTTCCGAGACACTTTCTTGGACTGGCAGCACCTGGTGGAGAGTTTCCCAGGATGCACCATTGAGCCCTCGGGTAATGAGGCGTCGAGTTTCGGTCCCCCGTACGTAATTGAGTACGTTGAAAATTCCACCAAAGCGCCTTCAACGACATCATCGAAGAAACGGCGGAGAGACCCGGTCGAAAAAGAAGGAACAAGTGCAGGAGTGATACGCGTGTCCACATACAAACAGCCGAACCCAGGTCCCTATCCCGTGGATGCTCCCAAACTCAACGCCATTCGTTTCACGCCAGCCCAGGTTGAAGCTATCGCATCCGGCACGCAGCCCGGACTGACTGTGATAGTTGGCCCTCCTGGAACTGGTAAAACGGATGTTGCAACTCAAATCATCAATAATATTTATCATGACTTCCCGAAGGAGCGTACCCTTCTGATCGCGCACAGTAACCAAGCTCTTAATCAGTTGTTTCAGAAGATTGTGGCCCTAGACATCGATGAGCGTCATCTTCTTCGACTCGGCCATGGTGAAGAGGAACTCGAAACCGAAACTAGTTACAGCAAATACGGCCGTGTCGAGTCATTTCTTGAAAACCGCAATTACTTCCTCGCTGAAGTGACACGCTTAGCGGCGTCAATTGGTGCAGAAGGCGCACACGGTAATTCCTGCGAGACGGCTGGATATTTCAATACAGTCTACATCCAGCCAACCTGGGCGAAATTCTTCGATTACGCTCGTGCCGAAAGTACAACCACTGAGGATATTATTTCGTCTTTCCCATTCCATGCCTACTTCTCAACTGCCCCTCAGCCTGTATTCGATCCGGCCGCTTCGAAGGAGACATTGCTTGATGTGGCGGAAGGCTGTCAACGGCATATCGACAAGATCTTCTCTGAATTAGAGGATATTCGCCCATTTGAGATTTTGAGGCAATCCCGCGACAAGGCAAACTACCTCCTTGTGAAAGAAGCGAGAATCATTGCTATGACATCTACGCATGCGGCAATGCGTCGACAGGAAATCGCCGACCTTGGCTTTCACTATGACAACGTCGTGATGGAAGAGGCGGCGCAGATTACTGAGATTGAAAGTTTTGTTCCCTCCGCCCTACAACACATGAAGAATGGCGAGCTCCCTCTGAAACGCGTGGTTCTTTGCGGCGATCACCTTCAAAACTCTCCAATTATTCAAAACCTTGCTTTCCGCCAGTACGCCCATTTCGAGCAGAGTCTTTTTCTACGTTTGGTAAGACTCGGTGTTCCTGTGATCAATCTTGATCAGCAGGGCCGAGCAAGACCTAGCTTGGCCGAACTCTTTCGGTGGCGTTATAAGCAGCTTGGGGATTTGCCCATTGTTCGCACGGCTCATGAATACAAGCAGGCGAATGCTGGCTTCCAGTACGATTATCAGTTCATCAACGTCCCAGATTATCAAGGGAGCGGAGAAAGGGAGCCGACCCCTCACTTCATCCAGAACCTGGGAGAAGCCGAGTACGCTGTGGCCATTTATCAGTACATGCGACTTCTCGGGTACCCGGCATCAAAGATATCCATTCTTGCTACCTACGCAGGCCAAACGGCCCTGATTAAAGATGTTCTTGCCCATCGATGTGCTAAAAATGCACTGTTTGGCATGCCAAAGATCGTAACAACTGTGGATAAGTATCAGGGTGAACAGAACGACTGTAAGTTGAACCATCTAGCGCGATGAGTTATGCTGACCTGGGATCTGCGCAGACGTTATTCTTTCCCTTACGCGAACCCGCACAGTGGGCTATCTCCGTGATGTTCGCCGCCTTACGGTTGCTCTTTCCCGTTCCCGTCTAGGTCTCTATATCCTCGGTCGTCGCGAGGTGTTCGAGTCATGCTATGAACTCAAGCCGGCCTTTGACCTTCTCCTACAGCGCCCTGACAAACTCATGTTGACCACGGGCGAAATGTTCCCAACCACACGATCGCTGGACGACGAGGTTCAGGGTACGCCTATGGAGGGAGTGGAGCATCTCGGGCAATATGTGTTTGAGATGACTCAGGCCAAGGTTAAGGCCATGGGTGATCAGGACATCATAGTAGACGATGCAATGCCTGACGGGGACAATGAGCTGTTGGACGAGGATGAAGTCATGCTTGGAGCGGGCGATGAGCCTGAGGAGGACCCATTGCATGAGCATACTTGAATAGCCGTGCAGGAGTCAATTTATGCCAGCAACTTGACGTCATCGTTCCTTCTACTGGGTAGTCTGTCTGTAGGGTTGCGTTCGAAGTTCTCATGTATATTCGGCACCAGATCCGATATAATACAATGGTGCTTTTGATTTAGCTCCGGTGTGACGTGCCTTCAAGCCGCTGTGTGCCTGCCGCCTCCATGGCCCCTTAAAATGAAGCAAATTCCGAAGTGCGGTGAATATGTTCGGGGCCATGAGAGATGTACAAGATGTTCATTCTTTCTATGTACAACAGCATTCCTAACTTGCTTCGATCTATAGAGACTTCTCGGATTCTCCAGATGGGGACCCTATGTATACATATGCCTCCTGAATGAGTGTGTCAGCCGTGATGGAAAAATCTACCAAGTCTAATGATGTAAGACGGCAAAATACGACGGTTTTTCTACGATTCCTTGCGTTCTCCGAGTTCCTCAACAATGTTTTTGGGGTCTTTCCAGGCGAGTGCAATGTACCTACGGGTCGACGCTGTCAGCTATTCGAACGGTCTTATCGGTGAAGCGCAAACACGTACTTTGTATGACTGCCTCTTGCGAAAACCTCACCCTTGGAGTTCATGAACTTGATGTTTGTGTATGCTAAGGTTTTCCCGACTGTCGACTTGGTTAGGCATATCGATGGACTAGAATGCGCATGTGCCTATGATGACATAGTTCTGGGAGGACTCGTCCCCCGATCATTGGTAGGAGACTTACACTTATCGCAAGTGACTTCCTGCATGCAAGTCAGTAATCTTGTAAAGAGCTTGACCCAAGGGAAGCTGAAAAACGAACCGCTTGGATCTTGTCGCCAACTTTGCCTCCGGAACTCAGGTACGTTACTTATGATAGAAAGCTCGTATCAGTATAAAGTTAACCTTGGGCTTATTCGGTATGGCTGGTCTGGCATACCATTAAGATCTGTCGAGACGCCAGTTGCGAACAAGCCTCGAGAAGCTACAGCTAGGGAGCCGCCAAGGTCCACTAGCCCCAAGGGTCAATGAGATGGCAGACAGGGTGACGGGTCTCATCGGTATACAGTACCCATACTGGCTATTGTCCCTCCATGAAGGATGCTGAGTCTATTCTAGTGACATTGTTAATGTATGGCGAGGAACAAGATGCAATCGGGAGACTTACCGTGTGCTCTTTCTGGATATCAAGCTCAAAGTTGACAGTTCCGGGTCGTGCAGCAGTTACACGAAGCTGAGAGCGGTTATTAGTATATCCCGATACGCTTGCCCGATGCTAATCGCCAGTGGGATCGCAGTGGCAACAATCGCAATTTTTGAAGAGTTGCAAAAGCAGAATCTTACATTATCAAGCAAGCTGTTACCTCAAGGGATATGCTCAGCGACCGCCGGGCTCGAGTGTCAAAATGAGCCCTCTGTCAGTACTTACCGAGGCTCCAACCCTGAGGTAGCCCGAAATGACTCCCAGACCTGTACAGAAACGGTTTACTACGAAAGCACCGTTTGAATTGGATGAATCTGATACTTACAGATCTGACAAATCGCAAAGCCGTCATGTTTACTCAGTGCGAAAAGCGCAATTGAAGATGTGAGGAATAGGAATGGTTAAGCAAATGGACAATGAAGCGTTACGTACTGGCTCTAAGGTATGGAGGAAGCTAAACAGTGAGATCATCGCCGACTGCGCTTTGTGGCCGCTATGGTCACCGGACAATATCTGCTGCAACTTCTCCAATCAGACACAGATTCACGACTACCCAGTTATCCTCACCCTTCATCGTTGAGGTTTCTTAGTGACAGCGCTTGATGATGCTGCAGAGATAACGAATTATTTTCGGTCCTGCAGGCAACATGGCTGCGGCACCACCCCGTCCTTTCGATTACTTGGAGAGCTTGCCCGGGACTGTCTTTAACAAGCTCTACCAGCAGCCCTCCACTGCTCTCGCCATTTTCAGGCGCATGCTGCCTGACCTGGGTATGTGCCTGCCCCGTCATCGCACAGAGAGCCCCTTTTGGACTGATAGATCATAGCAAAATGTTTTGTGATGGCGCTACTCTACCTTAAGGACCCGCTTCCAGCAGCGGATTTGGAGGCATGGGTCAAACCAGACAGCTTGAAGTGAGTATCACCACCTTCTCAAAGTGAACGTATCGGGAAGTATAGTCGCTGACTCCCAAAAGAGAGCGAGATAATGCGCTTTCAATTTTGGGCAGGTTGCACATTATGACCAGCACTACGACGTCGGATAATGTAAAAGCATACACCGTCACCGATCCGTTTGCATCCTCCCTTCGGCAGGCTCTCACCGGTGCCGAGCAAACTCAATCGTTTGGTGTTTTGTCGCAGGTATCTGACGAAGAAGCTGTCTCCATTGCGCACCTGGACGAGTATGCCAGACGGCAGTGGGAAGGAGTTCTGGGTTACATGGTGGGGACAAGTGGACTGGGTATGCAACGCGACGTCAATTTGAGCAAAGGCGTGAAGGAGCTCTTGCAGGCCGGCCACCTGGTTGAGATTAGGGATCGTCGAGTCGAAATTACTCAGGACGGTTTCGCTTTCGTTCTACAGGACGTCGGCACTCAAGTATGGCATATCCTAGTTCTTTACGTTGAGAGCGCAGCGGCCATCGGTATGGACAGCGTCGAGGTTCTTTCCTTTGTGTTCTTCTTGAGCAGTTTGGAACTGGGGAAATCGTATGAGAAGAAGCAGTTGACATCCAACCAACTGCGCACTCTGACCGACTTGGCCGACTTTGGTATCGTCTACCAAGAAACTCCGGATGCCACTCATTTCTACCCGACGCGCCTTGCAACCACCTTGACCTCCGACTCCAGTACTCTGAGCAATCCTCTCGCTGGCTCCCTTTCCGGACCTACGGGCACAGCCTCAAGCAAGGCCGGCTCCGGATTCATCATCATCGAAACAAATTACCGACTCTACGCATATACCTCCTCACCGCTCCAGATCTCCCTCATTGCACTTTTCACCACGTTGAAATATCGCTTCCCCAATCTGATCACGGGTAAAATCACCCGCCAGTCCGTCCGTCGTGCAGTCGAGATGGGCATTACCGCCGATCAAATCATCTCTTACCTATCGACACACGCACACCCGCAAATGCGCAAGCACAATGTGTCCAGGTCTACTTCTAATCAAGCCGGAATGCCGGTGTCCGTCCTACCGCCTACCGTCGTGGATCAGATTCGTCTTTGGCAGCTCGAGAGAGACCGCGTCAAAGCGACCCATGGCTTTTTGTTCAGGGACTTCAACTCTCTGGCCGAATATGAGGCCCCGTGTCGATATGCCGAGGAAATCGGCGTGCTGGTCTGGAAATCCGATCGGAAGCGGATGTTCTTTGTCACTCGACATCACCAGGTTGCTGCTTTCTTGAAGAGCAGGAGGAAGTAACGTCATTGCAGACGGGGAACCGGCCTTGTCGATACTTCCCGCGGATTAAAATTGTTTCTGTGATGCAATCTTTGACAAGCATGGTACGGCGTTGGGACGCTCCGCTTTTGAATATGGCGGATATTATACAGGGTCTGTGGCCTCTGAGGTTGTGGACTGGCTACTCAAGCGGGATTATGCTATATTCTACACGTCAGCCAGGCTGCTTGCAATGATTTTTAGAAGATGGTGTAAAATCAAACTCCGGTGTCATCCTAAGTACAGCAATTTGCAGTCAACACTTCCAACCAATGACTCCTCCAATCGCCTTTCCCAACAGATAGACATATGTCTAGTGTATCCCGACGCATTCATGTCCCAAACTCCCGAGTCAAGCACATTGATGTGGCCCAGATACCCATAATCCAAAGAAACACCACATGGTGAATACGCACAAACGATCTCATCTGCCATAATCTTTCACAATACAGCCTCATCACAACATCCAACGATCTCCATGAATAGCAATGTACTCGTCTCTGAACTCTCTCAGACTAGCCGACGCCTCCTCCGTCACGCAAACATTCTCAAGAACCATGAAGGCGCGCTTGACACGATAGTTCGCAAGGTTCGTATCTGCTTGGCCCAGAGGCCGGGAGTAACTCGACAGCATTCCAAATCCAGTGGCGATATCGGGTTCTTTGAAAGAATCTTCGTAGTGGAACGCGTTGGTGAGGGTCATGAAACGGCCAAGCCAATATTGACGGGGTTGTGCTCCGGATACCTGGAAGCCAGCAGGAGTAGTCGTGGTTAGCGTTCTCTGCTTGTTGCGTGGGATTCTGCTGGTGTGACTATCATCGCTGGGCAGTACCATTGTCTGAGTGCGATCTTTGTTTCTGGTCGTTGGCACCTTTGCGTTTGACTCGAACTGTTGGCTTGAGTTGGAAACACTCTGCTCTTGGTCGTCATCAGACGCTAGCTGTGAAATGACCTCTTTTTCAATCTGAAGAGCCTTCAGGTTGGCGAATCCTCTGCTCATCCGCAGTTTCTTGGGCAGCATATCGCTCGTGCTTCTCGGGATGCGATTCGTTATCTTGTATATGAAGGCGGGCTGGTTGTCGGACAACTGACGGTGAGTGAAGGCCTGCTGTCTTGGTGGAAGAGGTTCGCTGAATCGTACTTTCTTGACATTCAGGCCAGCAGCATTGTTTGGAACAGGGATGGCGCTTCCTCTTGTATTCTTGTTTATTCCTTGCTCCTCTGACGCCTTTCTTCCCTCTTGAAAGGCAGGAACGCATGGCTTTGCAGGAGATCTGAGCTTAGCAGGAACAGGTATAGAACTGCGTGGAGGGGCCAACCGAGCCATTTCAGCCTTTGAAGATGAAGAGGAAGTAGTTCGTGTGATCGATGAGCGAAGCTTCGATGATGAGTCCAGGGGAAACTCAGAGCGCTGCTCGACCATCTCGGCTTGCTTGAATTTCTGTCCCAGACATTTTTGACAGACTGAAGCAGTTTCAGCAACCGCTTGGACATTCTCAGCAGGTTCGGCAAGCTCAATAGGCACAGCAGGCTGAATAGGTTGAGAAGGTTGGGTGACTTGCACTGCCTGGATAGGTCTACCGATTCGGTAAACTCGAACGGGTTCGGTAGGTCGAACATATCGAACAGTCTGAGCTATTTTGACCAGCCGAGGAGGTGTAGGGATATCGATCTCTTCATCTTCGATTTCCTTCATTCCAACATTTGAGATGGATTTGTTTTCATCCTTGCCCGCGTCCTGTCTGAGATTGGTGTAGCGCCTGCTCAGTGATGACAGAACGCTCCGTTTCCCCTCTTTATGAAACGCTTCGCGAGAGTAAACGCATTTGGATGGAGGCTCAGTAGGGGCCGGTATCTTCGAATACTTGTTTTCGGACGATGAAGTCAAAGTTGAGCCAGTGAAACTGGTGGATCTAGAAGCCGTCTGACTGCTTGGTGGAGAGGAAAAGGGACTAGCTCTTGCTGTCAAACGGCGGATTGATATGTTGATCTTTCTGCGAGTTTTCCCATTGCTGGCTGTTGTTTCGTTCGAATCTTCAGAGCCAAATGAGGAGGACTTGCTAGGTAGAGGCATTGAGACTTGACGTTGAGAATCCCATGCTTCGTGTATCTGAGAGTTGCGACGCTTTCCCGTAAGCGAAGACAGAATTGAGCTTTCGTTCTTGATGGGAATGAATGAGCCAAACGAGAAGACGCGGCCAGCTCTGCCACTGTCATTTGGGCTGCTGTCTCTCTCGCTGCCCAGTGGTTGATAAGGGTGCTTTCCACTGCGAGTCTTGTTTCGAAGAACTTGAAGGGATCCCAACAGAGAAGCCCTACGGCTACGCTTCTCTGCCATGATCGGATTCCATTCAGGGTGCAGTCAAGACCAGAAGAATGACGGTAGATAAAATGTATTCAGAAGAATATTTGGATAGGATGGATAATACGTTTTGAAGATAGTAATATGTGCTGTTTAGAGAGGTGTAGATGGTAAGAATCAAATAAAGAGAAAGAACAGACTGAACAGTAGTATTTATCTTTATTTACTTGAGGATGACAGTATATGGTTACCGGAGATATCCATTTTGAGAGAGCAGATGCAGTGAATTGCCTCAAGTCTACCTGGTACATATCTGATAGTAGTATTCCATTCACGTCGGCTCATTCTCATTCACTAGCCCTCACAATCCGAAGCATCACGCAATATACTCGAAGAACTCGTCGCAGCTCAGACCAACCATGCATTGTCATCTCGTCATATTGCAGCCCAGTAGTGAACGCGTTCACGTTTAATCAGTCTTTGACTCATTTCGGAGGAAGTAGGATGCTTCCCTCGGATACCTTGACAGCGCCTCCCTGAAGCTCAACAGTGTTGATCTTCTTATCCTGGTTGACCACGACATCTACCCCAATCACACTGCGTCTACCCATCTCCACTCCTTGCACAATGTTATACTTATACTGACCAGGTTTTCCGTCCATCAAAGACAGGTAAGCGGCCAGACCGCTGGCCGCACTTCCTGTTGCTGGATCTTCTAGGTTTCCGAGAATCGCCCTGGTCCGAATGGTATTTGCACCAGTCTGCGGGTCCTTGACATTGCGGACGTAGAAGTATATCACACAGAGACCTGCATCCCAACCTTCATCCAGATAGCCAGAGCCCGCAGAGATAACCTCACCTCCCGTGGCCGTAGTGACGGCAGCGAGTGCCTCGAGGGAGGGTAGCTCGACATGGACCTGGCTCATCCCATTGACGATAGAGAAGATGGGGAAAGCTGGTTCCACGGTACCTGTTATACCGAAAAAGCCAGACAAGGAAGGGTGCAATCGGATCAGTTGCTGGAGCGGGAATCTGGACCGGTGCAGCCGCGTATTATGTGCGATTCTAGCGGTTACTGCAGGCGACGGCTGTCCCGATCGCAGCGAGATGGGGATATCCCCCGACTTGGTGGTCAGAATTTTGACGGCTTCCTTGTCGCCCTCATCCTGAGAAAGATATAGAAACCAGGAGGCAGCTCCTATGGTAGGATGGCCTGCGAATGGAAGTTCGCTGTCGGTGGTGAAGATGTCGATAGTGCGTCTCTCACCCTTGTCGGCATGGACAAAGATAGTCTCTGACAAGTTGAACTCGCGCGCGATCGACTGCTTCTGCTGTTGTGTCAGAGCTGGCTTGTTTGAGTCCGGAAGGAAGACCACGGCGAGCGGATTGCCAGCATACGGCTGTGCCGTGAAGACGTCCAAAGTGACGAATCGGATTTGTTCAGCCATGATAGTGTGGCAATTGGTTTGTTTGAAGTTAGATAAAAATCCAAGCTGCTGGAGGAGTCTTGATTTGCGTCTTTCATGATACAAACAGAGTAGGAGAAGCGCATTGGGATTTAAGGACTCTTAGCCGCTTCGTCCATGGATCTGTGACTCATCACGACAACGCTCGTGTTGCGGTCTTGTAATGCTACTCGTTGCTATCGGAAGATTAATGCAATTGGCCAAATGTCGATCATTTGATATGAAGCTGCTTATTTCGTTCATGATGGAGCTCTGATTGTTCCAAAATATTTTACTCATTGTAGAGTACCTTAGGGCTTGGATGTGCCGCTCTTCGAGCTACCGGACGACACAGTGGGAAATGGGCTATGGTATCTTGCGGATTGCTGCTGATTGCCGGAAAACCTCCGTTGGTAGTGGTGATATGCGAACCTCGAGCCTGTTCACTCAGTGGATGCAGAGCACCTACATATGGATGCGTTCGTGATTCGGTATATATGCTAAATGTACATTCACCCCCATGCCTATCAAGACCCAACCCGAACACCGCATGCAATAATCATTACAACATGATAGGTATACATTTCACTCTGAATCGCTTTCGATGACAAACCCAGCCCGCATTCTTCGTCGAGGCGGTGCAGCGAAAGGTGCTGCTTCATCGTCATCTTCCTCTACAGTATCAGGTGCAGGGGGCTCGGTCTCCCTATCGTCGTCCTCCGCACTCAGGACTTTGTCTCTATTACGATTTCGGCTGAAAGCTAAATCATCATCGAAATCGAGTTCATCTTCTTCGGAGGTAACAGGTGTGTCTTCGACATCACTAGCACCTTGGAGAGAAGGTGAGCCTAGTCCTGGAGAGTCTGGCGACCGAGCCTCCGTACCGGTCATGACAAGATCGTCATTGTCATCGAGCCCTTCAGTCCGTTGCTGGCGTCGCTGCCGCTTGCTCTGKGTATCTGCGGTCGAGGCAGTGTGCTGGTCGCTTTGCCGCTTGCGGCCACTACCTCTCTTCCGCGGTTTGTCACTAACCTCTTCAACGACCCCGTGGAGCAGAGCCTTCCTAATTCTTTCTGCCTGCTCCTTTCGTCTCTGCTCCTCAAGTCGAAAGAATTCCTGGTCTGCTTCTTCGTCCGTTTCCTCATCACTGGCGTGAATGTACAGATCGCTCTTGATTTTCGCTTGTCGAGCTAAAGCATTTTCCAGGCGTGCTCGACGCCGTTCCTCCAAGACTT